CTAATTAACGAGTTGGTTCGCTTAAGCCTTCAGACAGGAATGTCCAGTTTGGCTCGTTTCCAATAGATACCGAAATGTTGTGAGGACAAAATAGGACACACCTCATCATTCCTACTGTCACAATAGTGTCCAACATGCCCACAAATAGTGTTGACAACAACTCATCTTTGTGTTAGTCCTAAATTTGTTCTATTGCCCGTCAGCGCATAGTCTTCACAGCAAACCCTTTCAAGATGCAAATGCTTACATTCCGGAAGAAATGTATGAATACAGCTTGTATGAATATAGACCAAGAAGAAGTCAGCAGACAATAACCTCCTTCGAATAGCCGTCTGTAGAGTTCAGGCATGCCAACATATAACTGTTGGAGTAGCTGGTGGATTCTTCGAAAACCAGTTTTCCTACATATCTACCGTATCGCTTGACTTGCCTATAAGCTGTGATTCTGAATGCAACGTGGACTACGAAGAAGGGGTATGAGGAGGAGAAGAAGAATGAGAAGCAGAACCATCAGGAAAAGGAGAAGATGAGTGAAAAACCGAGATATCGCGTTGGGAAACGTGCCTCGTAGAGCGAGATGAGTGCCGGTTTATCCGGCAGCCACTACACACCACAGTATGGGTCATTAGTCATGTCTTGTCGAGCTGGGGGCTGGACTGAAGTGTGGGAAACATTCGGACATCAGCCGGTTAATTGTTCATCTTCTGCCTCTTGAAAAGTATGAAGCGTATGTGTGCATCCGGTTGAGCAAGTGTGTGTGTGTGTGTGTGTGAATATATGTGCATATATCTGGGCGTAGAATCCTGTATATGTGTGTATGAGTATGTGTGTCGATACAAGCTAACCCGACCACCCAAGATGGCTGGGGATTTTGGCCGAAGTAGAAAGAAATATGATTATTAACTCAAACTTTTGTCAATTCCGAACAGATTAATACTATTTGCAATCTACCTTTCAATCTGTCATCTGCATAGCTAGACGCCCATCCACTTACTTATCCGCCTGGTCTCGGCTGACTGACTGACCGGTAGATAACATGATTTAATTGGCTAACGGATCGACGGATTTGATAAATGACTGAATGACTGGGTGTATGTATGAGTTACATACAGAATCCCAGATTGAGTGGGCGATTTAGCGTCAGATTTAACAGACTGTTTGAGCGATTGATTGATTGACTAGCAAATAATTGGTATAATTGGCGAATAAATGTATGTCTAATTGAATGACTCAATGAATAGGTTTTGAATGATTGATCGAAGGCGTTAATTAATGACAGATTAACAAATTGAGTAACTGATTTAATAACTGACTGTAAATTATTTAGTGAATTGTAAATCATTACTATGATGAGTAAGAGACCGATTGATTTAGTGAGTTACGAACCAATTGACGGGTTGAGTATCTGACTGAATAAATGATTGGCTTTCTGACATATTGCCATATTGCCCGAGTCACTAAGAAATTATTGTTGATATGATGAGTGACTGTGCGTTTGGCTGTATAAAAGATTGATTGAATGGTTAATTGATTGGCCGACGGATTTAATATTTGCATCAATGACTAACTGAGCAAATCATTTAGTAACCTGGACATCGAGTGACCAATAAATGTTCTTTATACGGGAGTAACTAAATGATTAAATAGCCTAATTTCTGATCGACTAGTGATGGATTGAATAATTGATTGAATGAATGGCTGAATGATGTACTGTTTACGAGAGTGATTGACTGACTGACTGATTGATTGAATGACGGATGATACTGTGGTCCGTAAATGATTGAAGAGGAAAGCATTAAAATGAATGGCAAAGTGAGTTATCATCTGATTGATTGGTTGATGATGAAACGATGATATGCATAGAACATTTGACCTTCGATTAGTGGGTTGAGCACCTCAAGTTAAGTGTTACCATTTATGTAAGCTAGTAGGATTCTGATCCAGCCGTATTTTCAGCCAATAAGACAAATGTAAAGAATTTATGAAGCTCTACCCTTTATTTTTATATGAAAAAGCGAATGGACGGGATTCTTAAATACCTCCTTCCGCTTTTGGCGAGACCAATGTTCTAATTCGTACCACTTCTCGTTGCAAAATAAATAGAAGGTACAAAATTATGAAGTAATTAAGCGCTACTTCGAGGCCCATTTTCTTTTCTTTCCACTTGCTTATATTTGCTATCAAAATAAAACATACCTTGATAATCTGATTTTTATTAGTATGGCATTTCCTTTTTGCACACCTATCTCACGAATTCGCGAATACTCTTTTTAGGCTCAAATGTTGTATAATATTTTCCAATAAACAGCTCTTAGACATGTCCTCTCTTCATAACGATGACTCAAAGAACAGCATAGACAGAATGCTCTCTTTCTTGTAATTTGCTAATACATAGCTTTTTTTCATATCCGGTTGCTAATATTTATTATCGGCATATCTATTCACTGCTTTATGCTCCTCGTTATTGTAATACTATGATCGTTCGTTTAAATCTTATCAATCCAAACCATAATTTGTTTCTACGGAATTGTATAAATTTACAGATTCTATGATTGAAGATATAAAGAACAAGACAGTGTGACCCCCGGTATTGTCGTAATCTCTTTTCGGTTTATAGAAGTTGGTTGACTTTGCTTTCGCAACTTGGTCTTGATGTCAGGGCGAAGTCCTCTGCCATGGTAGTTATCATAATTCCCATCATTAGACGGTGGACTTGGTATATGACGATAAGACCAAGTTGCGAAAAAGAGGTCAATCCACTTCTATGGTATTGTGATGTTATTCTTATTTTAGTGCCTGCCTCAATCAGTATTTGCTGGTGGAATTGTTGGTAGAATAAGTAATTTTTGCTTTTGTTTATAAGTAGTGTTTCGAAAGTTATAAACAAAAAACAAATTGTCATAGAAAATATAATTTTTCTTAATCGACAAGTCCACCAAAAAGATGATATGGGAAAATGCTTGGCCTTCCATGGAATTCATATCGGCCCTGTGATCCTACTGCACTCTTGTCAATGTGGCGTCGTGGTTAACGAGTCGAGATTGTACGCTGCACTGTCACGGTTCGACTCCCGCTGGGGGTGTTGATAAGACCGAGGCGAGGTAGAAATTGCAGTCAACCCTTTAGGAAATCAAGGATATGAGAAATTCAATGGAAAAATTCAACTATCAGTCCTTCATCGTCTCAAACGAAAGAGTGTGAATACATCTCCTATAAATAATTCTAGCCTAAGATTCTTCGAAAATAATCATCTTTTTTTATATCTACTTGCTAAAATATACTATCGGGGAAAAATATTTTATGCTTTGGGCAACGAGTTATTGTGATATTGTGGTTGATATTTTTCGGTTAATTCTTTTTCTTCTCGACTTAAATGTTGAATCATAACCTCAAAGTAACAAAAAGCATACATACCTCCTCTCTTCACACAGACGCCTCAAGGAGCTGTGCAAACAGGATGCTCTCTCGGATGCCATCTGCTAAACGCCAGCATTAACCCTCGCCCGGGTGTTTGCCCCAACCATTCCTCCTACCGAGGGTCAAGTCAACGGCCCATCTTGTCAACTTCCCCCGCCTCATCTCCACCCTCTTCATCATTCTCGTTAGTGTCATCTTCTTCTTCACCGCCTCCTCCATTGTTCGACTCCTCCTTGAGTCATCGTCTCTCTCTGACAGCATCCTCCGATGCCAACTTCACCCTAACTACACCTATCGCACATGCTAAACACGAGACAGCAACCTCCGAGGCCGAGCCTCCGGACTGGTGGCGGCGCCCAGTCCGCCGGCCGTCACACCAGTCGCCTCGGCAACCAAGACGAGCGGTGTCTCGGACGGGAGTGCGATCACTTTTGGTCGCCTCTCATTCTCTCGTCGATAGGATTTCTGATCATGAAGAAGAGAGCAGGGCTCGTGGTAGGCGGGAGGATGAAGGTGGCGACGGTGGCGAGAGAAGTGTGCCTACGGGTGGAGGAGGATCCTTCATGGCGTTTCCTACCAATTGTCTTACTAAATGTTCACTTGATTCAGACTGCTTGGAGCCGTTGGAACGGTGCTGTTACCTTGGTTGCAGTCGAATTTGCCTCAAGGTTAGCGTTGAAATGTCCTTTGCGCCAGCGATATGGGACACTTATTTTTGTTTATATGCAAGTTTCAAGATTAGCTGTAGATCCAGTAAAAGAGTTGTCTTCACTCTGGTTCGTTTAAAGGAATTAGGGCCTGTTGCTTGAACTTTACCATAACCATATGAGTAGGCCTCACATTCCCATTTAATTTCACATAGCCTTGCTTCTCAAAAGGTATTATCATCCAGGATGATATTTCTAATAATGTGGTTGATTTATAGTTGATTAATAGTTTATATGAACAATAACAATGGTAATAACATAAAAACATTACTATTATTAATATTATAAAATATTGACCCTATTTTCTTTAAGGCCATTTCAGCTGGTAGTTGAATTCTTCCAAAATAATCTCACAAGGCCCAAAGTTTTCATCCAATTTCGCATAGACTTGCCTCCAAAAAGCTATTCTCATCCAGACTGGACTGGGATGCCTTTTAGACCTCGCCTGAACTAATCATATCAGAATCCCCACGAGGACTCCGACCAACCCGAGTTCGAGTCCTGCGGATTGTGATGATGAGACCAGTTCAGATGTGATTGACATGACAGTTTAATCAAGTCTGGATGATAATACGTTCTGGGAAGCAAGGTTATGCGAAATGGCATGACAACGGGAGGCCTTTTCATATAATTGCTGGAAAATTCAATTAGCTCTCCTTCCTCACCTTAAACGAAATAAGCTGAATAGTTAATATCATTAATAAAAATATTTTTATCTCCATATTATTACTTTAATTTATATTAAATTTTGTCTATATAGAAATAAGCGACTTTTAGAAGCATAATCCTAGATGAAGATAACCTTTAAGAATCAAAACTATGTGAAATTAAATAAAAACGTGCGTTCTACTCATAGAAAGGTGGGAAAATTTATCTACCATTCCCTCATCACCTGAGGCGAAATAGGTTGAATACAGCGCTTAGATATATGCCTCTCCTTTTCGTACGAGAGCATGAAGAAGTGGGATTCTAGGCGTTTATAATTTATTTTTCGCATTTAAGTATTATTTCGAGACTAGCAGTAAATTAGTAATATGAGATGTATTCACCCAATTTCGTTTAAAGTGATGAAGGACTGATAGAAGAATTTTCCCACAATGATATGAGTAGGGTTGACTTTTCTATTGAATTTCACACAGCTTCGTTTTCCCAAAAGTTGTTCTCATCCAGACACGAATGGACTGTACTTTCGACCTCGCATCGGTCTTAACAACACCCTCAGCGGGAGTCGAACCGTGACAGTGCAGAATGGGAACTTGACACGTTAACCACTCGGCCACATTACCACGAGTCCCTTTGGGTCACAGGGCAAATGTGAATTTCAAGGGAGGCATATCATATTCTTTGGTCGGATTGTCGATGAAGCAAACGTATATTTGCTATAACGATCGACTACTTTACTTTATTTTTCGCATTTAAGTATTGTATCGAGACTAGCAGTAAATCAGTAATATGAGATGTATTCACCCAATTTCGTTTAAGGTGATGAAGGATTGGTAGAAAAATTTTCCCACAATGATATGAGTGGAGCTGACGTGTGAAATTGAACGGAAACGTCAGCTCTACTCATATCATTGTGGGAAAATTCTTCTACCAGTCCTTCGTCACCTTAACCGAAATTGGGAGAGTTCATAATTTAGACTTAGAAAACTGGGTCATTGGTACATTTCCTCATGAAGGCATCGTAAAGCAAGGCGTCTTCTTTAGACAGCGCCTGGACACGCCCCCCAATTCGTCCTATCATGATTTCATAGTACCCTCGAGTGGAAAATAACCTGACAAGCTCTGTGAAGTCGTGGATTGTAAGTGTTTTCGGCCTTTAAGGCTAATCATAATTCAGCCAACATCAGTAAACCCAATTTCCTATGATCCTTTCATGTGCCTCCGACGCAGTCCAGCAGCTCATGATTTAGTCAGAACCTGAAAAACTGTATCAAGAGTTTCGCAATCAAGAGCCAAACAAGTCTATCCTCCCATTTTCAGTGCACAGCGAGGATAGCTGATCTTTCCCAACACATGTTTAACGAATGAAATCAGCAATACTGCAACTCTCACCTCACTGCATGTAAAAGACGTCCACTAAACTGTTGGAGGTCGAGGACGTTGTGACTGATAGTTTCTTCTTGGGAGACAGGGCATCGAGTAGAAATCTCTTCATGAAATGTTGCTTCTAATAAATCTTATTAGTGACGAGAAAAACAAAAAAACTGTGCTTTGGTCAACTCGATATTAATTGCCGTGTTTCCAGCATCGCTGCTAAACGACGCTCTTGAGCTTTTCCCATCCCACATTCCCATCAAGTTTGTCCAATTTTTCGACCAAAAGGCTTAAGTCCGAAGCCTAAACACTTCAAGTATACTATAAGAGTTGAAAGACTGAAAATGGAGCACAAATGATTTATCATCTATTGCGAGAGCCTATGGACTCCAGATCAAACAAAGAAATGACTATTCCGATGCCCGATAGATTGCAGAACAACCGAAGTGTTCGGTATTCCTGTCCTCAAGTTTATTCGAATTCTCTTCCACTAATCAGTAGCACCCGGCATATGCCTCTTGACTGTGACTCCTCACGAATCTCACCGCAGTTCGGTTCTTTCCTTTTGACAACTGAACTGGAAAAGGATACTATAACGCCAGCCATCTGAGGTATGGGGCTCACTCAACTAGAAAATCGCTTCCACTCATCGACCAATGAAAAGCAATCAACTCGCTTTTTGATCGCATGATGGCTCAACGAAAGGATATACAGCTTACAGAAGCGTTAATATCGGCGTTACCGTGACAATATCGCCGGTATTCAAGTTGAGTTCACAAAATAGATAACGCTAGGCTGATTGAAACTGTATCCAGTCGAATCCAGAAGTTGTGATTGTATGGGATTCAGCTAACCTCAAGACCTCAGTAAGAAGAGAGGTTGTTCTTTCATAGCAATTTAGTTTCGTGGCTATCAGTAACGCTAGTCTAGTTCACCTATTGAATAATAATTATTATTCAAAATCTACCAATATTCTTTAAATCTACTCACTATGAATATAAGTAGTATAAATGTAGTCGCAAAATAGATGTTTGGCTAATCGAAAATGACATGGCAAAAATGTGATGTGGGGAAAGCCTGGCTTGTCTTGAAAATCACTTCTGCCCTGCCACCCACTGGAACCCATGAAAGTGTCGCGATGTCGTAACACGTCCAAAGTATAAGCTGCACTATCTAGGTTCAATTTCTGTTGGGAATATGAATCTTTTATGATAGAAAGGATAGGCAAGATTCAATAGAATCATGACTTCTCCCCATCTCTATGTGGGAAAATTCAAATATCAGTCTTTTGTAATCCTACGCAATCTAGGGCAACAGGAGTTCTAAGTGAAGTAATGACCTGATATAAATTTGAGTTTAATTTCTAAAGAGGATACAGCATGCTGATGATGATCATATCAAGAAGGCCTTTGTTATTAATTATTTATAAGAAAAAATGCCGTTACTATCGCAAATACAGGTGCTCCTCAAGGCTTTTGGTTAGGCTCAAATAAACGTTTTAGTCTATAATATTAGTCTGTTTTAACTTAAATTTCGAGTAAGTTTAATGCAAGATTTTTACTCTTCCTTTTTTCAATGAAAGCACTAGTTAAAGAGGATTGTAACTCTCTTTCACGTCAAAAGATTGTCTCTTGTTGAAGCACATCATTGCTCAGAGCGTACTAGCTCTAGGAAACAGATCCCTCAGTACTAGGGAAATTATTTCTGGTTTTCGTCAATCATGTGATATACATCCCCAGAGCAAGGCACCTTACGTGGCCTAACTTCATGCCAACATAAGTTGTAGCAGAGTTTTTCCGGAAATAATCTTTATTTTCGGTGTGACAAGACGTACATTTACCGCGTACGTCTTTCTGTATGCCTATATGTGTGTGTGTGCGTACGTACGCAAGCATGCATATGTGTATGCTTGTGTGTGTTTGAATGAGAGAGAGTGCTTATGAAGTGGGTGCAATATGAGTGCAACGTCTGTTTCTGGCAAGTAAAACGAACTAGTAAAATTGCCTAATTGAAATTATATCTTTTTGAAGGCGTGGATGTTAAAGCAGGTGTAAAATACCGAATTAAGTTTTGGGGTACCTGTTTAGTTTGTTGAGCTTACTTCCATTTCGAGTGAAAGGGCTGGGTGAAGAGATTCGAAGGTCGGTTCCACCAGAAGACGACGGCGGA